TTGAAAGACTAGCTGGAAAATCATCTCATTACTGCTTTTTAGATGGTTATTCTGGTTATATTCAAGTACCTGTTGCCCCGCAAGACCAAGATAAAACCACTTTTACATGCCCTTTTGGCACATTTGCTTTTAAAAGAATGCCTTTTGGCTTGTGTAATGCACCACCAACTTTTCAAAGATGCATGATGAGCATATTTTCTGATTATTCCGCTAAAGTAATGGAGGTTTTTATGGATGACTTTTCAGTATATGGAAATAATTTTGAAGAGTGCTTGCATAATTTGACTTTGGTTTTAAAACGATGCATTGAGTCAAAATTGGATTTGAATTTTGAGAAGTGTCATTTTATGGTTGAAAGAGGAGTAGTTTTGGGACATATTGTTTCTTCAAAAGGAATGGAAGTTGATCGAGTGAAATTGGAAATTATTAAGGCTCTGCCCTACCTTAAAACTTTAAAAGAAATCAGATCTTTTCTTGGGCATGCTGGTTTTTCTAGAAGATTCATTAAAGATTTCTCAAAAATAGCCCTTCCACTTACAAATCTTCTTTCAAAAGACACCCCATTCATTTTTTTATGATAAATGTAAGCTGGCTTTTGATGTTTTAAAAGAAAAACTGATTTCAGCACTAATTATCCAACCACCCAACTCGAAGTTACCTTTTGAATTGATGTGTGACGCTAGTGACAGGGCTCTGGGGGTTGTTTTAGGACAAAAATCAAGAAATCAGTCCCATGTCATTTACTATGCCAGTTCTACTCTTGATTCTGCACAAATAAACTATACAACAACTAAAAAAGAGATGTATGCTGTAGTATATGGGTTAGGAAAGTTTAAAATGTACCTACTGGGAGTTAAGGTGACAATTTACACTTATCATGCTGCTCTAAAAACTTAATCAGCAAGAAAGATTCTAGGCAGAGGTTGTTAAGGTGGGTGCTTTTACTAGAAGAATTTAAGTATGAAATCAAGGATCGGGCAAGGAGGTTAAACCAAGTCACTGACCATTTAAGTAGGATAAAGCATGATAAAGAGAACTTGAATCCTTTAACAGGTACTTTTCCTGATTAAAACTTGTTCTTTGCCTCATTTGTTCCTTGGTTTTCTAACTTGGTAATCTAAATGGTAACCCACACATTCCCACTAGGCATGCCTAGGCACTTAAGAGACCACATTCAAGCTCAAGCTAGGTTTTATATTTGGGACGACCCCTATTTGTGCAAGATGTGTTCTGACCAAATTATTAGGAGGTGTGTAGGAGATTCTGAAATTACTTCCAGTTTAAGTTTTTTCCATACATTAGAGAGTGGTGGTCACTTTGGCCCTAGATGAACTGCTCATAAGGTCCTAGAAACTAGTTTTTATTGGTCTACCATATATAAAGATGCTTATGAATTCTGTAAAAATTGTTTAAGATGCGAAAAAACTGGAAATCTGTCTAGTAGAGCCCAAATGCCATTGGATAATAGTTATGTCTATGAGTTGTTTGATGTTTGGGGTATGGATTTCATGGGGCCTTTTCCCTCTTCATTTGGCTTTAATTACATCTTATTTGTTGATTATATTTCAAAATGGGTTGAAGTTGTGCCTACAAAGTTTGATAATGCTAAGACAAGTGGCTAAACATGCCCAGTCTTTGATCATAAATAGGTACGGAGGGCCTAAGTTTTTTATAAGTGATCGGGGAGCAAACTTTTGCAATAAAACCTTGGACATATTGTTTTCTAAATATCACATAACCCAAAGAATCTCCACAGCTTATCACTCTCAAACTAATGGCCAAGCTGAAATATCTAATAGGGAAAGTAAGCACATTTTGGAAAAGGTAGTTAAGCCTGATAGGAAGGATTGGAGTTTAAGGTTAGATGAATGTTTGTGGGCATATAGGATAGCGTATAAAACACCAATAGACATGTCACCTTATAGGTTAGTCTTTGGGAAAGCTCGTCATTTACGTGTTGAAATTGAACATAAGTCTTATTGGGTTGTTAGGGAAGTTAACTTGGATTATGATGTAGTGGGAAAACAGAGGAAATTACAACTTTCAGAGTTAGAAGAAATTAGACTTGAAGCTTATGACAATTCAGTAATTTATAAGGGTAAAGCTAAGGCCTTTCATGATGCCAAACTTACTAGGAAACACTTTGAAATAGGTGATAAAGTGCTATTATATAACTCTAAACTGCATTTGTTTCTTGGAAAGTTGAGGTCACGATGGCTTGGACCTTTTGAAGTGTTAGAAACGTGTCCTCATGGGGCTGTGATAATTAGGGATTTTAATAATAATAAAATTTTTAAAGTTAATGGACATAGATTGAAGGTATATCACCAAGGTGAACAGGTTGCTACGGTCGAGGAAATCTTCCTCGAGGAGCCATGAAGCAAGGCAAGATAGTCTGGCCAGGACTCTTAAACAGGGCAGCTACTGGGAGGCAACCCAACACAAAAAAAATTAAAAAAACAGGCATTTTAGTTACATTTACATTTGCTTTTATATACTGTTTTTTTCTTATCTCTATGCATCATTCCATTTAGTGCTAAGATCATTTTTTTTCTAGTTTCAGTAGTTCATTCTTGTTTCAATAGCCCTCAGGATAGTGCATGAACTAAGTGTGGGGGTATGCAACTGCCCGTGTACATTTTGAGCTTAAAGTTAAAGAAGAGGTTTTTCTAGGCATGATCTAACACAAGGAGTTACATGGCTATGAATCTGACTTTTTAAGCTTAAATTCAAACTCTTTTGCACAGTTCATTTCTTTAAAAAAACTGCATTCTAACCTTTCTAAAAAAATACCGCCTCTGTTAAGTCTCAAAGAGCAGTTTTTTTATAGAAAAGAAAAAAGAATTTTTTGGACTCTTCATGCCTGACCAATTCTAAAGTGATTGTTTGTATCGTTTAAGAGAAAAAAATACTTGATCAGAGCGTGAGTTGTGTGAACTTGTGAGCTTTCTAGTCTCTGGGATTGCATGATTTGTGTTAAAGCTTCTTATTGGCTCAAAATTTCAGGAGTTTTAATTAAATTTCTCACATCAATAGTCAAATTTTTTAAATTGAAAAAGATTTTTCTAACCATCCAATTATATAGGTTGTTCAATCTTTAATTGTTTAATCAGGTAGAATGCTCCTTATTTAATAATTTTCCCCTCCTGTTTAGTGACATAGTCAATTTTTGGTCTAAATAACATTCATGCACTATTACTATCAAAAGGATCTGCCTTCTATCTTCTAGCCATCTTCTTATCTCTATACACTAAATCTCTGAGTAATATATTAAGGATGGTAAGAATTGGCTAGCACTGGTGTTGGGAAAAGTATTATAGATTTTGATGATGATGTATTTAGATTGTAATAGGGACTTTAGGTCACCCCCAATAATTAATGTAAATTTTCTTTTTAGAAATATTGTTAAAACTGAGTACTTGAGATTTCCAATAAATTTGTGATATTTCACTCTGTGGTTTGATGTCAATCTTTGAAGACTTAATCAAATTCAGTGATATGGAAATTGGAATTCCTGATCGGATATGTTAGAGACGAGTAGAGATTTCTCAAAACAGTTGGTTATTTTGAAGACTTTCTAATCCGGAACACTACACGGTAACCGTATGTCTCACTACAACAACCCGTTGAAGGCTAAGTCATCCGGATCGGAAAACTAGCACGGATCTCTTTCTCACCTGGAAGTCTATGAATGACTTTTCCGGATTTCTCAACAAAGAACCGGATGCCTCAAAGAAGACCGGAATTCTCAGAAGCAGACAAGTGAGAAAAGACTTAGAAATTATCTAAGTCTTGAATGAAGAAATTCTACCCGTTGGTAAGGAAAAATCAATCTCTTGATTTTCAACGGCTAGATTGAGGATAATTAAGCTGATTCAAGAACAAATGACTTGAAGACAAAGTCTGGACTTCTCAAATTGAAGAGCTCGCCCAGAATTCCTAAACAAACACAAGAAGACAAACTGAGTACTCCACTCAATAAAGACCTACAGTCCAGAATTTTTGAACAACAGCTATAAGACAGATTCTGTGGAAAAAGGAATCCCTCCTCAAACAATTGGGTATGTCCAAACACCCATTCCAATGAAGGATCCTCAATCACACTCTTTGTTCAAATTGAAGCCAGCAAATGCAACGGATAGTCTATTTTGATTCAACGGATAGATGATCTAATCCAGCTATATATAGCTTCCATGGAAGACTGGAGAACATACAATATAATCGATCCATCATCAACCTAAAAACAACGAGAAAAAAAGTTATCTCATTCACAGTTAGCCAAAAAGCTTGATAAAGAGAGATTTCTAAACTCCTTATCCAGAAGCAAACTTCTCCTCCTTCCAAAGAGCTATAGTGTAAACACTTGAAGGTTTCCTTGCCTCAAGTACCACACCACGTTGAAGGATACAACTTTTAATCAAACTTCTTGATTAAAAAGGGGGTAGATCAACTTTCCTACAAGTTGATCTTGCAAGTCCTATTGTTCGGATCTTGCGATTGTTGAAGAAGCGTGACCTTCGAAGGAACAACAAAGCCAGCACGTGTGCAGTAGCAACATTGGCCTTGCAAAGATATACCGTGCAAAAATTCACACAAGTGTAATTGTTGGATCATTATTCAACAACCAACTACATAGTGGATTTTGAGGGCGTAGAAGGACTACCCCACCTTCGAACCTCGTTAAAGTTTGCGTGTCTCTCTCTTTTATCTTTACTCATACTTGCAATTATATTAAATGTGAAACTAACTCATCCATATTGATTACTGTTCCAATAACCCACCAAATTCCGCACACTATCTAAGGTTCACAAGAACTCTAGATAAATACTCATTTTCACGTTTTCAAAAGAAACGAAAAAGTTTTTAAATTTGTAACAAAGTCTATTCACCCCCCCCCCTCTAGACTTTGTATCTCACCACTTAGGGACCACCAATTGGTATCAGAGCAAACTTCTTACTATCTACGTTTAGATTAAAGAGAAGCGATCATAATGGTGAACAATATGGATCACGGTTTGCCCATGTTTTCTCTTCTAGGTTATGATGATTAGAAGATCATGATGGAAGCACACCTCTACGCTCTACATGATTGCATGTGGATGGTGCTTGAAGATGGACCCTTAAATATCCAAATGGAGAATCCAGAGAGGAATCCAACCAACCCAGATGTAGTCCAGTATATTCCAAAGCCCAAAGAAAAATGGGATGATAAGCACAATCTAGACAACGTCGCCAAAGCAGCCATCTTCAAGACACTTGATCCCATCACCTTTTCCAAAATCAAGCATCTCAAGACTGCCATGGAGATATGGAAAGGTCTTGGGAAGCTGTGTGAGGGATCAGAAGACCTGAGAAAACAGAAGATAGAGGTCCTGCTCGAGAAGTTCAAAAGCTTCAAAATGCTTCCCGGTGAATCATTTGACATGCTGGATGAAAGATTTCACAAAATCTTAAATGATCTTGCATCACTTAACCACGTTCTTTCTCCCAAAGAAAAGAATGTAAGGTTGCTGAGGTCTCTTCCTGCTGAGTGGTACACCAAAGCCACACCCATGGAAGAAGGAAGAAATCTGGAGAACTACAATGTCCAAGGTCTCCTAGATGAGCTCAGAACCTATGAGCACGAGCTGAAGAAGAAGAAGGAAGAACAAGTCACTCCTTTTCCCACGGCACTGATGACAACTCTCAGAGTCCCAACAAGCGAAGGGACATGCCCAAGAAACTGTGACACTCCTTCATCCAGCCAGCCACCAAGCTCAAAGCATGGAGCGCAAGTCATCCAGCTCTAGCTCGGATGAAGAATCCCTCGTTTACATGGAGCGCAGAGCTAAGAAGTCCAACCATGAGGATCGGTGGACTATGTCTGAAGATGACACTCTGTGCCTAATGGCCAAAGATGATGTTGATCAAGAGGTAACTTCACAAACCTCATGTTCATCCTCTTATGAAAGCATACCAACTTCTGAAAATCTTTTTGACAAGTTCAAAAAGATGATGGAAGATTTTGAGGAAATAAATCTTAAACACTCATCTTTAACAGAAGAGAACAAGCTGTTGAGTGAAGAGAATCTCAAGTTGACTGAAGGTCGGAAAAGTCAACTAAGTAAGATCACTCATTTCAAGGCTGAGAATGAATCTCTTTCTGAAAAGGTGAAATCTCTCAACAAGGAGCTAGGGATACTGAAGTCCAAAGAAGCAGTGGATAAGCTTCTTGAAACGACCAAACATAAGGGTCGTGAAGGACTTGTGTTTGACCCCTCCAGTTCCAAAAGAAAAGGGAGAACAACTTTTATTCCTTCCAAACCTACTGCCCAACCCAATAAGCAGAAAGGTAAGGAGAAGGAGAAACCTACAGAAGTTCCCAAAAAGGTAGTCCCTCCTAAAAACTATAGGAAGCTGGACACACCTCAAAGAGGAAACAATTTCAGAAGAAAACCTTCTAAACCCCACTATACACGAGGCTATACTCATTATGGGGTAGAAAAGAGTTTTCCAAGAAATTCTGAGTGGAGAACTATGCCAAGATATAGTCATCCTCCACCCCAGAAACTATTTGTTCCACCTAAGTATGCTTACAACCATCACAGGTCACACAATGCACAACCTAGACAAAACTATAGGTCTTACCAACCTAGGTTTACTAGGAGGAAACAGGAAATTGCTCCACCTGCTCGTAGGAAGTTCTATGCCTACAACTATGACTATAATCCCAACAAGTTTAGAGCTGCAAGGAGAATTCCCTGCAACTTCAAACTTGATGTAGGGACACACACCATTAACTATTCCGGACCCAAACTGAATTGGGTACCAAACTCTTCCTCCTCCTAATGCAGGAAGCCGCTAAGTACCCAGGTGTCTGGTACTTAGACAGTGGCTGCTCAAGACACATGACGGGTGATGCAAGCCTTTTGAGCAATATAATTCCCTATGATGGTCCAAGAGTTACTTTTGGAGGAAGCAATGATTTTGGCCTTACAAAAGGGCTAGGAAATCTGGTGTATAAGGGACTAACCATCCAAGCTGTATCTTATGTGGAAGGTCTCAACTATAACCTTCTTAGCATAAGTCAGTTCTGTGATAAAGTTTATTCTATGGAATTCTGAAAGGACATGGCATCCCTCAAGAACATCTCCACAAATGAAGTCATTCTCACTGGGAAGAGAATCAGAAATATCTACGAAGTGATATGGGATGATGTCAAGGAAGCATGTCTAATCAGCAAAGGTGACACTAACCTTCTATGGCTTTGGCATAAGAGGTTGAGTCATCTCAACTTCAAAACCCTCAACAAGCTGTCCAAAGAAGAGTTAGTAGAAGGTCTTCCCAAAGCTGTGTACAAGAAGGAAAGCATTTGTGATGCTTGTTAGAAAGGAAAGCAAGTAAAGTCCACTTTCAAGGCAAAACCGGCACACTCAACTACAAGGATACTAAGTCTTATTCATATGGACTTATTTGGACCTGTTACACTAATAAGTCTAAGTGGAAAGAAATATGTCCTGGTAGTAGTTGATGACTATTCAAGATACACGTGGACAATCTTCCTCAACAGCAAGAAGGAAACTCAAGGGAAGCTCACAAACTGCATGAAGCTGATTCAAAACCAAGCATGTCAGACCATCTAGAAGATCAGATCTGACAAAGGCACAGAATTCCTGGATGAAATCATCATTCGCACTACGTCAAAAAGAGATGCTAACAACTGTTGTTTTTAGTAGTCTAACTTTGCTAGTTTTAGTAGTCTTCCGAGCAGCTGTCTGATATATTCACAGACTACTGTTTAAAAACAATTGTGTAATACGGTTGACGATACCTATTTTGTGATGTTTCAGAGTACATGTTTTTGAAGTTGTCCTCGTATGAGTAAGACATCTGTTTTCTAGAGTTAAAGACAACTGTGATGTTTTGTTGTTTATCTATAATGAATATTACTGTTGTTTTTGACTTCAGACTCCTATTGCATGGTGTTTTCGTTCAACAACATATACATCTAATTTCAAAAGTAGTTGACAGATATATCATACTGCTGCTTGGAAGACTACTAAACAAAAATAACATCAGACAACTGTTATCTTGTGTTATATTTCTAAAATGTAGACTATTTTGGTGTATTTTAAACAACCGTTTCTTTCACTTATATAGTGGCCAATAACACTATGCTTTTTTGTAGTTGTCTTTGAAATATTCAAACTGCTTTTTTACATAGTAGTCAGATTGTAAATCAGACTACTGGTCCAAAGACAACTAAGTATGTTTGCATAAGACAATTGCTATTCTGTGTTGTATTTTTAAAATGTAAACAACTATATTCACTATGTTTCACACCACTGTTTATTTCTATTGTCTAACGTTTACTTACAATCCAGGTTTGTGTAGTTGTCCTTTAAAAATTTAGAAAACTTTTTTAATACATTGTAAAGCTGTTTGAAAGACTACTGTATTTCAATTTACAATTATATTTAATAAAAAAAATTATTTCAATTCCAAAATATTGATCATGAAACAAAAATAAATTCTAAAATGTAGAATACATTGAATAATATCTAAATACATACAAGCCAAGTCTAAAAACATCCAATAATTTAATATTTACATAATAAAAATCACTCTATTTGTCCATTCAACAAGCGTAATTTAGTTATTTGTTGCCTCAATTAACATTTCTAAATACATCTCTTGCTCTAGCAACATTTTCTTGTAAAGCATCCACTTTAGTCCTCAATCTGCATACCATTAAATAATTAAAATGAATGTTTGTTGATAACAAGAAAGAGTTCATAACAAGTAGTTCATATGCATCTATTTAACAATTGAAGTTCATAATTCAGCTTAGAAATCAAGCAAAGCTACAAATTTTTCTACATAAAAAATAAATCAGTTTAGATGAATACAAGTAATTGCGGCATTAGTGATAATTTATGCACAAGATGACATATGAAGATGACAATTACTTTTTGAGATTTTAAAAGTCATAAGCATGTTTATGTGTAAAAAATAACCTTACCAGACTGTGTGGTATTGAACCAATTGAACCATGTTTCAAGACGAATTAATGCACTTTCCAAGAAGATAGATATGTCACTTCTTTCATCAACAGAAAACTTATTTTTCTTAATGCCGCAAATCAGGTCTGCAAAAGGGAACTTTCATACTGGTCAATAAATTTATGATACTATTTCAAAATTTATAAATGACAAAGACAATCTTTTCACTATGTGCAATCCAGAACGCAAACATAAATAAAGATCTCAGAACAACTAAAAAAGGATATTTAGGGGACAATTACCCCGTAAAGCCAAAAACAATGTTGAAGGATTTCCATTAGTTGGATGTTGAGGAACAAATTCTTGAGGGACCTTAATGAGAAAAAGCAGGCCTAGTCTTAAAAACTAAGAAATGTATAAGCTCACAATTTTCTCAGAAGAGCTCTTTTCCTTACCATCTTGTACTTGTATTCAGTTGCAGATTTGTGAAAATAACGGATGACTATCCACATCATTGTCCTTACCATCTTGCCCTTACCATCTTGCACATCATTGTGAAAATAACGGATGACTATCCACAAAATTTAAGGTAAAGCCAAATGTTTGTTACCATAATCAGCTCCAAAAAAAACAGCAGTGAAAACCACCCCACACGATGCCCAATGCCAAAGTCAAACTTCCATTACAAAGTCAGCCCAAACAGCAGCCCCAACACTGCCATTTCAGCTCCATTTCAAGCCCGAATGCACCGCAAAAATAGCCACTACAGCAGCACGGGTTGACCTCCAAAACAAGTATCATTCAAACATCAAAATTGTAGAGGAGGAAATCTCCACAAGCAAGTAAAAGGCTTAGCAAAATACAGTTCCAAAAATACAGTTAAAATAGTCCAAAATAAATTTTGCAGCTCCACAACTCCAGCAATCGTAAATTCAAAGCAAAAGTAAAGAGTTTGTTTAATTAACATTTGAATTGCAGCATCAAGAGCACCTTCAAGAACGACCATAATCCACAAAAATTTTTGCAAAAATCAATAAGGAACATGGTTCAAAACATATGACAAAATCTCGCTGGGTAAAGTAGCTTGTTTCCCAAAACTTCTCAAATCGCAGGTAATTCAAATGGAATTGAAATCCAAGTATATACCTTGGATTAGGAATCCATTTCGCTCAGAATCCTAGAAGGATGTTCTTCAATTTTGCTTCAGACAACAAGAATCTACGATTGAGTTCGTAGATGAACAGTAACGGCGCAGCGTTGACCTTCGTTCCTTGCAAAATCAAATCCAAAAATTGAAAAAACAACCTCAAAAAGGGAATCACCCACTGTAGGCGAACATTGAATTCCAAAAATATGAGCAAAAGATCTCAATTTGATGGAGTAATCGCAGATAGAAGCTTCGACGTACCGTTCACCTCGCGGAGAAATTGGGAGCTAATTGAGCGGCCCAGGTTGTGTGGACTTAAAATTTTTAACCTAATATTTTTCCTCTCCTTTGTCAAATTTTTTTCTCTCTCCTTTGCCAAATTTTTTTCCCTCTCCTTCTTTTGTCAAAACTTTTATCTTCCCTCTATTTTTTCATCTCATCTATCCTGCTAAGTTTCACTTCTTTAGATTTTATCTTTAATTAATTTAAATTTTTACTCTGAATTTTTTATTTCAAACAAATTAGTAACTTTTTAAAATGATATCACTCAAAATAGAAGTAAAAAAGAGAGAATGTACTAAAATAGAATATAAATGTTTTTAATCTCAAAATAAAAGTTTTTATTGTGACATTTTATATTGACCTTATAGAGTATTTTTTGGTATTATGTGTTGAGATTATTGGAATTGTAACTCTGGTTTCGTAAATAAAAATATGTAACTCTGATTCTAACTAGTATCTGATAATGATTTTTAACATGCATGTACTACCTCCGTTCCAAATTGTTTGGGACATTTTGGAGGACGTGTAAAATATCATCTTTTTTAAAATAATTTTATTTAAAAACATATTTTGTAAATAAAAAGAAAATAAAAATTGTACTTAGAATTACGTAGGATACTCACATTATTGGCCATATGAAATCTTACTAGTACTGATAACAGAACAAGGTAATTGTGCAGATCCGTTTCTTCTAAATACTCATATTTTTGGTCGTATAAGATCTTACAAGTATTGATAACTGAACTTGTTACTCACACTAATCCAATTCCTTAGGATACTCATACTTTTGACCGTATAAGATTTTATAGGTACTGATAACTGATCTGGTTACTTGCATGGATCGAATTCTACTAAATACTCACATTCTTGGGCATATGAGATCTTACTAGTACTGATAACAGAACAAGGTAATTGTGCAGATCCATTTCTTCTAAATACTCATATTTTTGATCGTATAAGATCTTACAAGTATTGATAACTGAACTTGTTACTCACACTGATCCAATTCCTTAGGATACTCATACTTTTGACCGTATAAGATTTTATAGGTACTAATCTGGTTACTTGCACAGATCGAATTCTTCTAAATACTCATATTTTTGGCCATATAAGATCTTACTAGTACTGATTATAAAATAAGGTAATTGCGCAAATCCAAATCTTCTAAATACTCATAATTTTTGGCCATATAAGATCTTACGGGTACTGATAATAACAAGGTAGTAGCGCATATCTAATTTTTCTAAATACGTATACTTTTGAGCTAATAAGATCTTGGAAGTGCTGATAACTGAAGTTGTACTCACACTGATCCAATTTCTTAGGATACTCTCATACTTTTGACTGTATAAGATCTTACCGGTACTGATAACTCAAATGGTTACTTGCACAGATCCAATTCTTCTAAATACTCATATTTTTGGCCATATAAGATCTTATCGGTAATGATAATAACAAGGTAATAACGCAGATCCAATTCTTCTAAATACGTATACTTTTGCGCTAATAAGATCTTAGAAGTGCTGATAACTGAACTTGTTACTCACACTGATCCAATTTCTTTAGATAGTCATACTTTTGACAATATAAGATCTTATCGGTATTGATAACTGAACTGGTTATCTGCACAGATCCAATTCTTCTAAATACTCTATTTTTGGTCGTATAAGATCCTATTTTAGATCTCTCCAAAACAACTTTTTCCTCCGTCCCAAAAAAGAATTTCTTACTTTGATTAACGTGTAAAGCCCTGTGGTTTTTGAAATAATATTATTTGCAAATTGGTAAGAAAATAATACACAAAAAAAATTATATGTAAAAATTATATCGAAAACTCTACAAAATAAGAGGTGACAAGAGTATTTTATTTTATCAAATGATCAACAACCTTACATATAATTTCGGACTAAATCTTAATATATTAGATCAGACAAGATCAGATCAAAGAACATCAAATTACATTAAAACATTGTTGAAAGAAACTGGAGAGACATAGAAAAAATGGGAAGTTTTTCCTCTTCCTAATTTCATTCTCCCTCTTCCCAATTTCATTCTCCCTCTTCCCAATTATCACCAATTTCATTTGGATAAAGCTACTTGTACCCCATGTTTTTGTACCCCACTTTGTACCCCGCAGGTTTGCACCAACACTTTATTTTGGTGTAAAACCAATTTTTGTTAATGCACAAATACTGTGTCCGTGTAAATTTTTGTTAACGCACCAACACATGTGTCGGTGCAAACCATCAAAATGTTTGTGTATGCCTGCGGTGTACAAATGGGGTACAATATGTGGTGTAAGTGTAGCATGACCCAATTCATTTTCCCTCTTCCCAAATTCATTTTCACTCTTCCTAATTTCATCCTCCCTCTTCCCAATTATCACCAAATTCATTTCCCCTCTCCCCAAATTCATTTTCCCTCCGCTTACTAATTACGTTTTTCATCTTTGCAAGTTTCGTATCACCGCAACACATGGTAATAAAGAAACAGTCCAGGCCCAATCCTCCGCTGCACACACAAAAGAAACCTGGGAAGCTGCGCCCTATCTGATTTGTTGTTCACACAAGGAGAACTCCTTCTCCTACTCATTATTTTTTGAGTAATGCTAGGGGTACACCAAAAGGTGTACCCCGGTGTACCCCAAATGTACACCACCCTCTTTTCCTTTACACATTTTTATTTGATTTTTATTTACTTATTTTTTTTAAATTTTTTGCCTTTTTTAGTGGACAAGAAGAGGGTGGGGGACATTTGGAGTACACCTTTGGTATACCCCTAGCATTTTTCTTATTTTTTTCATCTACATTAAAAAGGCGAGAGAAGAAACGGAGCAGCGCAAATCCCGGAGCGAAGAATCCCAATCCAATCCAAGATGGAGTAGCCGATCTTATGCCTATACAACCACAGGGGAGAGCTGCGGGAGAACCACCACCATCAAAAACAAAAATTAGAGCTTCAATTAAGGGTATGAACCCTAGGGGGTTCGGGTCTTGAACCCAAAACCCCCTTCGTTCCCTTTTGGTTTTCTCTTTTTAGTGTTTAATTTCTTTTATTTTTTCAGTTTTTAGTGGAACTATTTGATTTCTGTTTTAGTCTCCCAAATTTAGTGTTTTTTATTACAAATTATTGAGAATAGAGTTTGCTACTGAGTTATGGCCGGAGGTTTACATCATTCTTTTGTTTAAAATAAGGCTTGAATGTTGTTTGTTTGCACCTCACTGAGTCACTGGTATAGTTTTCTCACTGTTGCTCCTGTCCAGCAAGTGCTTCTTCGAAATACATTTTGTTGGATTGGAAAAAAAGGTGGTTTCAAAATTTGTCTCACTTAGAGATAAGCCTTGAGTGTTTCACTTGTTTTTGTGGGGTTCTTTTCATATACAAGTGTATTTGTTTAAAGTCCATTCATGGAACTAGGCCATACGAAATGTACTCTAATGATACATAAGCTTAAGAATAAATTTGGCTTCAAGGTGGAGGCACATGAATGACACTAGGCTCTGGCGTGAATCTGTAGCAGATTTTGGGAGTTTTCTTAGTGTTTTGGTATAATCTAGGATCTGATTTTGTCCAAACTAACTTATGAAATCAGAATTTTTGAGGAAATATCTGGTCTTGTTTTAAAAAGAATGAATCTGTCTATGGGTTTAGACTTTTACAGCAAGCTTAATACTCTTAACAAAGTTTTTAACAAAGTTTTGATCCTGGATATTTATTTTCTATATAAAACAAATGGTTGGTTTTCTAAAATTGTTTAAGTCTTTAAATTATTGTGTTATCTGTGTTTGTCTTCTTTGTTTGGGCTTCTTAGTGGAGTTATGTTCTGTTTTTACCCTTGGTTTGTTTTGAGATTTGTTCTGGTGTGGTGTGTCACTTTAGTTAGTTTTTTTACTTTATTTAGAAAACATTTTTTCAAACCCCCCCTTATCTTTTAATTTAGTTTATAGATTTTAGATAGTTGTTTTTATTCAATAAAAAGTGACAAAGTAAATCGATTTTCATAACTTGAAAAGTATCTTTCCTCGTGGGATCGACTCTTACTTATCCTATCTATAGATTTAATAAGAGTAAATTCCATAATTGGTCCTTTATAACAGGGGGGTTTTCATATTTAGTCCTCTACTATCGAATATTACCCCCGTAGTCCTTTTTTTAAGGGTACCTTTCCACAAATGGTCCTTTTTTTGATCTTCTGCCGTGTTGGTGTTAATTTAAAGGCTAAAAATATAATTTGACGTCAACATTATGTCTAGTGACGTGTTCTGATATTGGTTAAGCGGATAACACTAAATAATGACTATGATTGTTGGCTAGGATTCTGACGAAAGATCACATTTGTAGACTATAGTTGTCGTAAAAAGCGACTGTAATTCACAAACGACGCAAACGGAACAGCCTTTGGAATTGTGTATGACAAAAAAGATATATTATCATTGTGAAATTATACTTTTAGCCCTCAAATTAACACCAACATGATAGAAGATCAAAAAAAGGACTGTTTGTGGAAAGGTACACATAAAAGAAGGATCACTTGGGTAATATTTGATATTAGAGGACTAAATAGGGAAACCCCCCTGTTATAAAGGACCAATTATAGAATTTACTCGATTTAATAAATATTATTTTAACAAGAAGGAATTGAGTAAAGGAAATATTAAATTAATTTTTTAGGTGCTACGACACGCCTAACATTGACTTCGTTGGGTTTCCTACCTATCCACTTGTTGTGTCTGAACTCAAACCAAGTGCAGCAATGAATGAAGGCTTTCAGGACAATGTGACAACTTCTAGCACTCAGCCTTGGCCCTTTGGCATGCCAGCAAATAACCTTAACATCTATATATAATTCTGCTTGTTTTGTCCCTCTTTATTTAGCCGTGCACCCAACAGATTGAGGAAGCATCTTTAGAAAAGAAATCCAAGATGTCAACTCGAAGAACAAGACCTCCTCTAGTGCAAGGCTTTGTTTCAGAAAGTAATGGCGAGCCAAAGCTTGTGTGCGATAGATATAGCAGACCCTTTATATTCCTTGGGCCAACATTCTACATTCATTGTGGGTCCTACGTTCTATTTGGATTTTGCCATCTTCTTTTTGTTTCTTTTCCTTTTATGAGTGAGATTGATTGATTGTATGAGTTCCCAATTTCCTTTGTGTGTAGCGGGACATTACACAGCCTCTACATGTACTTTTTATATTCTTTCAATAAAAGTGTTTATTTTTTAAAATGATAATTGTTTTAAACATCGGTTATTTGATTGTTGTCTAAAGTTTCTCCCAAAATTACGAAAGTAACGTTAGATAGCATACACATATTCATTGTAGTGAAGGTTATCATTTCTTTGAACTTTAAAAAAGTTTGAGACTTAATAGCTAAACTACTGTTTAAAAAGAGTATTCTTAACTTATTATAAACAACTCTAGCAAAACAATCATATGACACAAAAGATTAGTACTAGATTACTATTTCTCATAATTTTAAAAATAGTTCTACGCTTACTATCTATAGAACTCTTTAAAAGAGTTTTTTTAACTTATTCTAGACAACTGTGAAAAAAAACTCGTGTGACACAGACTACTAGTAATCCAATACCATTTCTCATAACTTTAAAAATAGTTCTAGGCTTTATAGCCTGACTATTGTTTAGAATTAGTATTCTTAATTTATTATAGACAACTATGGCAACAAAAACCAAATTTTGATATGACACAGACAAATACTAATAGATTATTGTTTCTATGATCTTTAAAAATCGATGTTGGCTAAGTATCTAGACTATTGTTAATGAAGAGTATTGTATTCTTATTATAAAAAACAGTGCCAAAAATACTATATGACACAGACAACTAGCAATATATTATTGTTTTTCATAACTTTAAAAACAGTTCTAGACTGAATAACTAGACTACTGTTTAAAAAGAGTATTCTTAACTTGTTATTGACAACTGTGATAACAAAAACTGTATTTTGATATGACACAGACAACTAATAATAGAATACCGTTTCTCGAAACTTTAAAAATAGTTTTAAGCATAATAGCTAGACTACTACTTCTATAGCCACAGCAGAATGGTGTAGCTGAAAGAAGGAACAGAACCTTGAAGGAAACAGTAAGAACAATGCTAGCAGAAGCTTTCTTACCAAAGAGGTTCTGGGCGGAAGCTGTAAACACAGCTTGCTATACTTAAAATAGGAGTATAATTTACAAAAGGCACAACAAACTCCCTATGAACTGTGGAATGGGAGAAAGCCTAATATATCATATTTCCATATTTTTGGGAGCAAGTGCTTTGTGTTAAACAACGGAAAGAATCATCTGAACACCTTTGATGAGAAATCAGATGAAGCCATCTTCCTTGGATATTCTCTGGTGAGCAAGGCATTCATAGTCTTCAACAAAAGAACCATGATCACTAAAGAGTCAATACATGTTATTTTTGATGAAAAACATGTGGTTGACAAGCCATCAAAGCCTGATCATGAGGTTCTGGATCTCTCAGGCAAAGATGAAGAAGTCAATGAAGGAGATAGAATGAAGCCTATAGAGTTCATTCCATTCAGAAGTCTACCTCTGAAGACTTCAAAGAGAAACCCGGATTCAGACAATGCTGAGCCTACCGGAAATCATGGCCAGCCTTCCAATATCTTGGATCACTCACATGGAGACAATTCCGGAAATGGCGATGAAGTGCCAATCCGTCCAGAAACACCAACAAACTCTATTCTTCAACCAGAAGCTGAACTAGATCAACCAGCCAATCCTAATCAACACAATCTTCGTTGGTTTAAGGATCACCCCCCTCAACAAGTTATTGGAGATATTCAGTCAGGTGTTTGCACAAGGAGTGCTCAACAGAATCTAGAAGCCATGCTTGCATGTTTTATCTCGCAAGTAGAACCAAAGAGAATTGAAGAAGCTCTAGCTGATTCTGATTGGATCAATGCAATGCAAGAAGAACTCAACCAATTTACCAGAAATGACGTCTGGAAACTTGTTCCAAGACCTACTCATCAGCATGTCATTGGGGCAAAGTGGGTCTTCTAGAACAAGATGGATGAAAACGGCGTTGTTGTCAGAAACAAAGCCAGGTTGGTTGCCAAAGGTTATTGTCAAGAAGAAGGTATATATTTTGATGAAACCTTCGCTCCAGTTGCTAGACTTGAAGCTATAAGGTTGTTTCTAGCCTTTGCTGCTCATAAGGACTTCAAAGGATATCAAATGGATGTCAAAAGCGCATTTCCCAACGGAAACCTAAAGGAAGAAGTTTATGTGGAAAAACCTCCAGGATTTGAGCTACACACTAAAGGCGATCAAGTGTATAGACTCAAAAAGGCGCTGTATGGACTCAAACAAGCACCAAGAGCTTGGTATGATACGTTGTCTAAATTCCTAATAGACAATGGATTCATCAAAGGAGTCATCGAAAAGACCTTGTTCAAACTTCAAGTTGGAGAAGATCTCCTTTTGGTCCAAATCTATGTGGACGATATCGTATTTGGCTCAACTAGGGAAGGTCTTTGCACCAAGTTCTCCACCCTCATGCAAGGAAAATTTGAGATGAGCATGATGGGGGAACTCAACTACTTCCTTGGTCTTCAAATCAAGCAGAGAAGTGAAGGAACTCTCATCAATCAAGCCAAGTACACAAGGGATCTTATAAAGAAGTTCAAAGTTGATCAGAAGTCATCCGTTTCTGTCCCCATGAGTACATCCACCAAGCTTGACATGGATGTAGATGGAAAGGATGTTGATCAAACTCTCTACAGAGGAATAGTTGGATCTCTACTCTACCTTACTGCAAGCCGTTCAGATATCTCATATGCACTAGGCGTTTGTGCTAGATTTCGGTCAAAGCCAAAGGAAAGTCATTTAATTGTAGCCAAAAGGATTCTTAGATACCTCAAAGGAACTCACAATATGGGTTTATGGTATGCTAAGAGCAGCTTATTTGAGTTAGTGGGTTACTCAGGTTCTGACTTTGCTGGATGCAAAGTTGACCGGAAGAGTACATCTGGCACTTGTCAATTCATTGGCGGAAATCTTGTTTCTTGGTTCAGTAAGAAACAAAACTCCATCTCTACATCTACATCAGAAGTAGAGTACATTGCTGCTGGTAGTTGTTGTGCTCAAATCTTATGTTTAAAGCAAAAACTACTAGATTATGGAGTCAAAGCAAAGGAAGTGACAATATTTTGTGACAATCAAAGTGCTATAGCCATCTCAAAAAACCCAGTGCATCACTCTCGCACTAAGCACATTGATGTCAAGCATCACTTCATCAGAGATCATGTGGAAAAGAAGGATATCAGAATTGAGTACATCTCAACTGAAGAACAACTGGTGGATATCTTCACAGAACCACTAACTGAAGCCAGGTTTTCTGATTTGCTTCACAAAATTTGTCTAATTCAATTAGACTGAGTGCGGTACACGTGGCAGTCCACTTACCACGTCTGATAAAGCAATGGGTAGGCACGTGGCCTTGGGAACAGTTGAAAACCCAATCGCCACCAGCCGCATAAATCGCCCAAAATTAAACCCAATCGCCACTATATTCAGATCTCAACTGCCCACTTAGCCCACTCAAATCTTCGTCGAGAAATCTCAAGAACCCTAATTTCTTCAAATTGTTCTCCAAAAATTCAGAGAAAATGAAGGTTGTTGGCGCAAATGTTCATTTCCAGAAGTTGGAAGCCAAATGCTCTTCACCGGCTTTCTATCAGACATATTTGGAGATGATTACAGCACAAGAACTCTCCGAATTCCTTCATATGGAGATTCGCTTCAAATATGAAGAAGAAGTTCTTGAATTCTACAAGAATGGAAAAGTCACAACTGTTCAATCCAAGAAGAATCCACAGAGGATGATTCAAGTAATTGACGCTTCAAATATGAAGAAGAAGTTCTTGAATTCAACTGTTCAATGCATGCCTGGAATGTGGCAGTGGAGGACATGCAGATGACATAACTCAAGAAAGGGCATTCATCATCAATGCCCTTATTACCAGAACCAAGGTAAATTGGGCCAAACACTTCTTCAATTCTGTTTCCAAGCATTTAGGAAAGCCCAAGCAGAAATATCTCTGTCAAGGATTGTACCTTGGGTGCATTCTGGAATCCTTAGGAGTTGCCTCTGAAGGCAAGAAGTATGATGCCAGATATTGGCTCTACTATTTGTCATCCAAAGGAGAAAACAGAGTTAGTTCAACTGCAGAAGATGAAGGTTCTTCAGACAATGTTCTAATTGTGAGTCTGAAGAAGTCCTCAAAAAGGAAGCAAGTGGTTTCTCCCTCCCCCAGTCATGAGGAACCACACACTCTGGCAGTAGTTAATCTGGATGAAGAAGAAGAAGTCTCTGCTCAAGGAGAACTTCAGAAGAAGAAGAAAAGAAGAATCTCCTCTCCTTCTACATCTGGAAATGCCAATCCGGATGACTTGGTACAAAGTGAAGCAGATAAAGAAGTCTCTGCACAGGATCAAAGTCCTCAACAGCTATGAAGAAACCCCTCAAGACCAGAGTCTTCCATCTTCTCCACCACAAGCTCAAACTGATTCTGAAGTGAGCAAATTCATGCAGCTCTACTATGATTGGAGAGCTTGGAAAGTTGGAAACTCTGCAGATCAGTTGGTTGAATGGGATCAACAACTGAAAAATGAGAGGATTATCAAGACGTGTTTGGGACAGCCAACAAACTGCTATTGTGAGCAAATTCTGAATGAGGAATGGGTCTGGCAGAAAACTAATGAAGATCTGCAGCTAGAACATTTGACCACCTCTCTAGCCTCAGAATTTGAACTTGATGATGACTACACAGCAGTATACACACCCTTGTTCATCAACTCAGCTGGTAATCCAAGTGCAGACCAGGCTGAGAACATCACTGCTGAAAGACAAGCAGACATGGAAGCTACAACGGAAGATTTCCAAGTCTTTCCGGAAACCTCCCCGGTTTTTTGCATTCTCCTGAAGCTGTCCAGGAGAATGCAGCTACTCCACAGCAAGAACAGATTCAAATAGCATTTGAAGAAGAGCTTCTACAGTCCCTCCAATTTCAAGTCCAAGAGATTCTCACAACAACTTGTGAGATCTACAGTCAAACTGGACCTGAAATTCCGGAAAAGTCAACAGAGAATCTGGAACAGTCACCTCTTCTAGAAACTACAGAGGAAGAAACTCATGAAGAACCATCAGTTGAAGTCCAGAGAAGCCTTGAAGAAGCTGAAGAAGGAGCTCAAATAGCTAGGATGGAGGCCTCTGAACCTCCAGTGGCTATCTTTGAGCAGCAAACTGAAGATGAAGTCAGAGATTCCCTCTCTAGGGATATCTCAAACTATGGGAATGAAGAAATGGAGGAAGAGTTAGTGAAAACTGTAAGGATTGATGAAGAAGACGCTGAGCAAGGAGAAGATGCTGAATCCCTCCCTCTGCAACTCTTTCACAGAATACCTTCGTCAAATCAGGTAACCAATTTTCAATTTCACAGCTCTTCCGCATCTACACTTCCGGATGAGATACCAGAATCCTGGACAAAGAAGGTCCAAGGGCTGATTGAGTCAGCCCTGGAGTCTCAGCATGCCTCCTTTAGGCAAGAGATAGAGAAAATGGAAACAAGGCACAACCAAATGCTGGAGAAATCTGAAGAAATGTATTGCTCAAATCTCAAAGATATAAGCAACTCTGTAGACAAGACTCTAGAGATCATTTCTCTACTAAGTCTGTGAGCAATACAATGATGGCTTATGCATCTGACTGCCATCTTCAACTCAAAGAAGCCACAGAAATCAAGCAGCAGATTGCCACAGTAACAGTCAATCTTCAGAAACAGATGTCTCTTCTCCAGATGGATATTAGATCAGCCTTGGCAGTGTCATCAGCAAACCAGGTGGTAACTCAAGATTACATAAGGGTTCTTGCTGACAATCAGAAGGAAGCATTCAAGCTTTTCAGGCATTTTGGAACCTTCACTGCCAAACATAAATTGGATGTTGTTGTCCAACCCAAAAGTTTACCTCCAACCCGAGGCCATTTGAGCAGTTGAAGAAGGTAAATTAGTAATATTTTTCATACGAAATCGTATTGCTATGTACAAGTAATTTTTATGACATATACAAGTATAGGTTTGGGAAGAGGATCCGGAGTTTCTGAAGTTGAGTAAGACTAAGAAGAACAGAAGGAAGGGAAAAGAGGATGGTCCTGCTCTTGGGACGTATTGTGGAGGTTCAGTTCCATTTTCTGAAAATATGAATCGATTGGTAAGATATGTTTTTATAAAATAATAGCTTTGCACTTGTTATTTGATTTGGTGGACATTAAATGTAAAATTTAATGGACATGTTTATTGAAACTTGAAGGCTAAGAAAAAAGGGGGGCATGTGTCGTTGGATGAGGTTATCATCCACACAAAGACAAAGAAGCACGACGGCAAGACTTGGGTGGATCCTGAACATGCTGAGCTACAGGTAGTTTCTGTTATACGCAAAACAGTTTGTGTTCATGTTCATAATGTTGGTGCTTTTGTCTTAAAACTTCTAAAGG